TTTTACTTAAAAAGACGTTCATGGCATTCTACCAACCACGCTATATAATAAACGTGATGATTTAAACTTTTCTATAGTCAACTTCCCTTACTTATGCAGCAATATACCTTTATCACCTGCATTCGGAGTATATATATCTCAGTTTGTTCGATACGCAAGAGCATGATCTACGTATGAACGATTTTTGAAACGAGGTAAATTATTGACAAGCAAGTTGATTAAACAAGAATAACAGCAGACTCGTTTAAAGTCATCATTTTGCAAGTTTAACGGTCATACAATGACCTTGTCAGCAAATACAATTTATCATTGAGTCAAATGCTAACTGACGTTTTTCATACTAATTGTTAGTCCATTATTTATACACTGAATTGACAACGGATTTTTCCGTTATTACCTGATCATGACAAGGAGCACACTGTGGGTGTGACCAGTCAGCAGGGGATGCTCACTCCTCCATGGCACCTGATCCCACCTCTGATGTTTCGGAGGTCCGTGTTTGCTCTGCTCCTATTATGTATTGTTTTATGGACTTTGATATTGAATACTGTTCGTTATCTCCATATCCTTTTTTCAAGCTATAACTACGGTTATGAATAGAGTGTATACAGTAAATTTGAGGAAAATTCTGCTAAGATAGGAATGCTACTTGAACATAAGAATGCTTTTTGTTATAATAGTACATTAGCATTAATAATTCCTGTCAATTAAATGTATAAATGTAGTTAAAATATCGTAGAATAATTGTGAAACACTATTCCCCTCTTTTTATAAAGATAAACTGATACTTACCCTTGTAGGATGTGTGATTATGGAGGCATAAGTTATGTTGATCTACATGTGATGCAGTCGTATGGGCAGAAGGGTTTACCCCTGATCCACCAGAACTGTGGGGAGTGTGTCCACTGGAAACGTGGATTATTTCGCCAAACAGCGCTCGAGCACATTCTACATTTGAAAAGTGAAACAAAGTAGAAGCTGTTAATTCTTACAATTGTAAATTAAAACTGATTTTTTGGCAAGATTGATTAATTTGATTGTATTTTATAAATGTCCCTTTTGAGATTTTTTCATTCATATGGAGACGCCGGCACTTGGCGGTGGAGAGCTGCAAATTTTGTCCTATACTCGGCACTCAGGGCCATTGAGTAGGGAGGGTTCTTTATCGTACCAGCACCCACTGCGACACAGGACCTCAGTTTATGCGGCCTCATCTGAAGGACGAAAGACCGGTCTCCACGCCCCACAGAGGGATTCGAACCCGAAATGTAAGGATAAACTCCTTACTTTGCGACTCCTTTTTTCAGCAAGAAAGTCTCGTACTGAAAAATTGTATACATAAGAATTTGTATACACAAAATTGCATACTATTGAGATAGTACTAAAATTGCTCGACTCAAAACTTCTTTCTTGCATTGAAGGTCACGATATATTTAATCATTTAAGTTCTCTTATTCAGTCAAAAAATACTACAGTAAGTCGAAATTTTCTCGTGAAAGATCCCCCTTCTACATGTATATACCGACCCAATTATTTTACCCTGAGTCATCCGGAGACGACAAATCTGTGCTTCAGAATTTAATCAGTCATTTTTTTGTGATATTGCGTATTTTCACTTTAAATGCACATTGTTTTGAACTATACTCACCCGGCCTGCGATCTATGAAAGTATTAGATGGTATGCTTTCTATGACACATGTATGAGGACTCAGATATGTCCCAGGAGAACATGGCCGGAGTAAATTCTGGCTAACCTGTACATAACATCTAATATCGACATAAGGACGCATGTCACCGGTACAGCATTCAGCCCCTTAAAGGGAAAGACAGCAAACTATAGAAATATCAACTGGTTTACAAAAATACGCCAGTAATGTATTGTTGACATCTGACACAGGCCGCGCCTAATAAGATTGAATACGTGACTTCTTTAATTAATAAACTGCACAATCAAAATGATGTTAAAATATTTACATCCACTGAATATTTCCTCCTTTATTTGTTAAGAAAACCCATTGCGTTAATCAGTCCATGAACTACACTAGGCATGTCACCTGTACAGATTTCGTGATCAGTGGCTGTTCCATCAATAAAACGTACAAATACATCATTATTACAGTAATTAATCTTTTTAACCCTACTTTAAATGATTATTTTAACAGATATAAATATAAACAATAAAATATATCTTTGGTTGTTAATACGGGAATGAATGTCGAAGCTATTGCAGAAAAAATTTACATTACCCGCTTACGCGGGTTATGTATTTTTCTGCAACAGCTGCGACATTCATTCCCGTAATAACAACCAAAGAAAGCATTTTATTGTTTAAATAAACTTGCTTCAACAACCATATTAAAGGCGGTAATACTATTTCATGGACTCTTGTTTCTCATTTTCCTTTGTAGTTATGAACTACCAGCTGCAACTTGACCATACTAACACGTAGTTGTCACAGGCACTTGATTCGGTAATAAATTTTTATCCATAGTATAATAATAACACGTGGTATTTTACTCCAAAAGATAATACAGAAACAATTGCTTGTGGTAGTTGTTTACTTTTTTTAAGTGTAACGAACCTGCATAAAAGCGCATGGTAAGTTGTGTGTTTTTAAATTTACTAAAAGTGAAAACACGTATTGTATTACGTAAACGTTTAGTATACGTTTTATGTCATTATTTTGGAAAAAATTCCACGTAGAGCTTTGTAAATGTAAAGTAAAGTTTAAAGAATATATGAAAAGTATTTATCATAAATAAATGAAAATTACCAAAGTCTACACTAGTCTAGTTAGTCCTACAAATTAATACCACGCTAAACAATCATCTACAGAAGAAATATTAAAATCAGTTAATTCTAGCTAATTAGTTTCCTGATAATTAATTTAATGATATGTACATAAACAAGGGATCTATGATTCAATCAATTTCAAATAAAGCTTGCCAATTTTTTTTGTCTATTAAATGCTTGGATACTTAAAAACCGAATATTCGAATCATATATTTATATTCGAATATCAACTCATCGAATGAATATTCGAATATTCTTTGACATCCCAAGTTATAAATATTGTATGGGTTAGTGAAAATATATGATTTTATTTTGAAATAACTAAAACACCTACGTGATATGTATAGAATCCAAATGGTAAGTATCAGGACACTTGATCCCATGGTCCGCCTCTCTAGATAATAATAAGCAAGATCAATTTTAAAAATAAAATAGAAAAAAGTTGTTTTGTGTATTATGGTCACATACATATTATGTGTATATTAACGAAAAGAGTTATTTTAAAATAATTTTAAGCATATTGGCTATTAAAGTTAGATTAATTTGCAGTGTATTTCATACACCAATCTAATGAAATGTCCTTTGAAAAATAACTTCTGATTCATATTTGGATGTTTTCTGACAATATATAGACAAAAAGGCAAATTGACACCAATCGAAATAGAATTTTCCACCGACTTTCTTTATTTAAGTAGTAATATTCCACTCTCACCTGCTTATGGTATTTATCTTTAACATTTCAGCTTCTCAAAAGCTTTCTCTTAATATGATCAATTTTTAAAGCGAGGCCTAGGCATACTATTCACTGATAAGTTGATGTTACAGGGATTTAACAACCTCGTTTTAAATTTGCATTTCGTAAATTCTTCAGTTGTTGTTATTACCTTAATGTAAACATAACTCAGTTATTGGGTCGAATTTTGACTGACGTGCTTCAGACTAGGAGTAAAGCCTTTGTATTAAACTGTATTGACTATTCAATATTTATCTGACTAATACATAAGGCTCACGTATAGCGGATGTGTCCGGTTAATAGGGTATGATTGCTCCTTCTAGGCACCTGATCCAACTTTTGGAAATTTCATTTAATTTGATTTAATTAAATTTAATTGGAAATTTGATTTAAGCTTTATTTCAAAATTGCATTTTTAATAGATTTTTTGAGATTGATAATCTTTATCTTTTATATAATTACATTGTACGTTTTAAATTTTAAGACATATTTTAAAAGGATTAAACATTGAAAGATAAATAAACATTTATCGGAGGCCCTATGTTCCACCAGGAACCAAAAGGAACCATGATGATGAAACATTTATCGAATGGATAGTTGCGAACTTCCCCAGACATCAGTCGATTCTTTGTTGTCGAAAACAGTCACATTGCATTAAATTTTCTCGATATGAAAAGGGATGTTATATAAAGCAAAATCAATGCTTTGATAATAAAAGTGTAGATATTACAATATATCAAAACACTTAAAATATCCTTAAATTAATTCACTCTTTGTCAATTTGACTTGAATAGGAAATCTTGTTGATAAGACAGTATTTCTATGATGGTGAACAACACATGCTATAAAAAGGTATACAAATTAGACACTGTCAATCGATTTAATGATATTATTGTTGATTTATTACAATGACGTGCCTCATTGAAATCGAATTGATATATCGAATCTGTGTATTAAACCTAAAAGCAACATTTATTATTTCTAACATTGTTTTAGGAAATTTTTGACAGCTAAAATGAAACAGCATAAAATGCAACATTTTCATGTGGAAATTGACTTTGCTAAAGATCTTAATCTGTTGACAATTTTATTATTTACAAATTTCAAAATTAAGGTACGTACTGTTTGAGCGCTCTTCTAAAGTGTCCGATATGAACTAAAGATAAGGACACAAAAAAGAGAAAATATAGACACAACTTTGTAGCTGCACTTAACTTCACTCAGTGATCTACATAACTTCCTCAAGGTATGAATATATAGTATTGTGTGTTATCTTCTTATCAACAAACTTTTACGATTTTTTAAGACCATTACTTTAAGTTCTTAAGAAAACTATTGCTTTCTTCTTGTGAAGGTTGATGACTTAAATGTAATTGTAGGAAAATTTAATTTAAGAATCTGTTTGGATTTCATGATATGGAACCAATAATTCTGCAGAGAATTATTTTCCTTCATGCCCAATGGAACGTGCTATATTTTATGGAAAGCCACAGGGGACCCCCAAGTCATGTTCTATATATTCATAGTAATTCAATCTTGGGCGGTCATGTTTACCATCCCGGCCAAGTCATGATCGGCCACACGGGACCCCCAAGTCATGTTCTATATATTCATAGTAAATCAATCTTGGGCGGTCATGTTCTATATATTCATAGTAATTCAATCTTGGGCGGTCATGTTCTATATATTCATAGTAATTCAATCTTGGGCGGTCATGTTCTATATATTCATAGTAATTCAATCTTGGGCGGTCATGTTCTATATATTCATAGTAATTCAATCTAGGGTGGTCATGTTCTATATATTCATAGTAATTCAATCTTGGGCGGTCATGTTCTATATATTCATAGTAATTCAATCTTGGGTGGTCATGTTCTATATATTCATAGAAATTCAATCTTGGGCAGTCGTGTTTACAATCCCGGCTAAGTCATGATCGGCCACACGGGACCCCCAAATCATGTTCTATATATTCATAGTAATTTCAATCGGTCATGTTATGATTGCAAATCTGACCAAGTCAGGTTTGGTTTGATAGCATAACATGGCCTTCTTATCTTTGCCGGTCATGATTTGACAACCCTTGCCTAGTCAAGATATATCCCATGTTTTACATCTTGACTAGGCCATGATTTTCTATCCCAAGATTGCATTGGCCAAGATACATTACTTCCAAACGCAGTCAAGATTTACTTCCCAAGATTTTATAGGACCGAGATTCGGCCAAGATAGCATTGCGCCTAGATACATTACTTCCAAACGAAGTCAAGATTCGCTTCCCAAGATTTCAAAAGACAAAGACTAATTTCCCAAGATTTCAAAAGATCAGGATTTACTTCCCAAGACGAAAATCCGCTAAAAACTCCCAGCTAACAGTGACAAAATAACGTAAGTACAGGTGAATTTTTCCTCGTAAATCATTACGAATATCATAGTTTGTTGTTCTAATTATGTAGTTAATGCAATGTCTCTTTAAAATAAGTGATATGAACAGCATTTCAATTAATAATCGAAAACATTCTGCAGTTTTTATCGAGGAAATTCGAATTTTGTGTATCGACAAATTAGTAATTCTGGGAAATTATGAACATAAACAAATAATGTTTCGTATGATCCGTTAAGAATCAAGTTGTTTACAATATACTTTCATATGAATTTAGGTATTCTCAAGTGCAAAATGCCAAATTATAGAACTTTTGGGGTGTAAAAACGGAGGGATAGGCTTTAATATTGTCCTGCTAATCTATATACCGATAGACTGTGCATATATTTTTAACAATTGATCAATTGATCATTTATTTACTTTTCTTCTCTTAGTACTAGGTTGCAGTGACTTAGGTTGTACTTCATCAACAACAAAACTCCAGATCCATGGCGTATATACAATATACAATTCATACAATTTTAAGATTGGTTATAGATCTACAGGTAGGTATTCTTTCATGTTTTGTAATTAATACATGACTAATTCTTTTTTATTATTTGCAGGTAATTTACATCACTTATTCATCTGTTTTATTAATGTAACTATTTATAGTATCTCAGATCGACACATGCTGACTGGAGAGCGCTATAATCGGACCCCGGACTGTGGCTTGAGACGATGACTGGAGTCTATGGCTATAGGAACCATTTTGCAGTAATTAAGAATGTGCAGGAGAAAGTGGTACACTTCATTTCAATCGCATCCTTCGACAAGTGAAAATCCATGGTCTACCTGGAATAAGTTTATTTGGCGCCAAGACAACCTTTTTCCAAGGTCAGAGATCAGGGGCCAGAACTGATGTCAGTTGAAAAGACACCACATTGGGTATTGGATTTGTATTTTTATATACTCTTTTTTATTAGCTTAAGTGATTTTTTTCATTATGTAATTTTTAATTTACACACACTCGGTGATGTTAATACATTCAAGGTGTTTTTCCGAGCTTGACAAAGGCTCGAGAAGATCATGATGCAATTGACTATTCATTTATAAACATTTCATATCTACAACTTGTCTATCTACATTCAAAACAAACAATCATTTATAGTGGAAATACAAATATATTTTGTTTCCAATATCAAGGTCAAAGATCAAAGGCCAGAATTGGTGTCAGCTGGAAAGATACCACATTGTGTATTGGATTTGCAAGATATTTAATCAATGCACCAGTTTCAAGTTCAAAGGTTAGTAACAAATTGAAAACTTGCATTTTATATTTCATCCTTTCGTATTTGCTACCCTCACAAAAGCTTTTGCCTATAAGACGTACCACTTAAAATGTAGCCGACCCAAACTAATTATTTTGTTCGACCATGTTTTGATTCAAGTTTGTTCAAATCATTAAGTCTAAATGTAGGATGGGTAATAAATTATTATGTTATGAGAAAGAAATTATTGTAAAGATATCTGCTGATGAAGAACAGAAAGGCCATAGTTACACAGGTACACAGGTGAACATTGTGGTCCATGGGCATCTGTTTTTAAAAACATATAATGTTGCACAGTATGATAATTTACACATTCCTTTTGATACATATTGCATCTTTGCTAATCATGAATTGTTTTTTCTTTAGTATCATCAAGGCCTACTTCATGAAATGCTGAATATGTCATCAACCTTCAGTTATACCAAAAGCTGAATCCAGATGAGGACAGTCTTAATGGGTCATACAGAAAAGGACTCAACAGGAATAGTTATTGAATTTCAAGTTTAGAGGTTTGTTAATATTGTTCTTATAAGTTTGAAATATGACAGCATGGAAAAACCTTTAAAAATTTCTAATATTTTCAGAAAAGAAAGATTTTAAGTATTTTTTATTAATTTTTCTGCAAACTTTAAAATATAAACTGAAATGGATTAATTTTTTCCTTCAGATTTTTGCAGTAAATGAAGCCTTTACCAGTTGCAGAAGCTTAGGCTATCCTTTGAGAGGGTGTTTGGCCTACAGAGATATTGACAATTAATTTTAAAAAAAGAAAACCTTTATTGATTTTTTCCCAAAAATTCAGCTCAGATGAGCTGTTAAGCTCAAGAGAATTTTTAGCTCACCTGAGCTGAAAGGTCCTAAGACCATAAACTTAGAGCAAACTTAAAATTTCAAAGGGATATAATTAGTTCTACTTGTCAGAGACCATAAGAGATTATGCGATATTAAGGCATCAGTTGTCCGTCTGTCTAGTTGTCCACCTGTACGAAACAGTTTTTAGCTCACCTGAGCCGAAGGCTCAAGTGAACTATTCTGATCAAAATTTGTCCGTCGTCTGTCGTTGTTGTTGTCGTTGTCATAAACTTTTCACATTTTTATCTTCTTCTCAAGAACCACTGGGCCAATTTCAACCAAACTTGCCACAAAGTATCCTTGGGTGAAGGGAATTCAAGTTTGTTCAAATGAAGGGCCAAGCCCTCTTCAAAGAGGAAATAATTATGAATTAGTGAAAAATTATTGGCATTTTAAAAAAATCTTCTTCTCAAGAACCACTGGGCCAGGAAAGATGAAACTCATGTGGAATCATCCTCAGGTAGTGTAGATTCAAGTTTCTTCAAAGCATGACCCCCGGGGATAGGGTCGGGCAACAATGGCCGACCAAAATTTTACAAAGGAATATATAAAATCATTAAAAATCTTCTTCTCAAGAATAACAAAGCCATGAATGGTCATATTCATATGGAAGCATCTTCAGGTAGTGTATATGCAAGTTTGTTCAAATCATGACCCCGGGGGGTAGGGTGGGGCCAATATGTCCGACCAAAGTTTTACATAGGAATATATAGGAAAAATCTTTAAAAATCTTCTTCTGAAGAACCACTGGGCGAGGAAAGATGTAACTCATGTGGAATCATCCTCAGGTAGTGTAGATTCAAGTTTGTTCAAATCATGACCCCCAGGGGCAGGGTGGGACCAAAATGGCCAATCAAAGTTTTACATAGGAATATATAAGAAAAATCTTTAAAAATCTTCTTCTCAAGAACCACTGGGCCAGGAAAGAAGAAACTTATGTGGAATCATCCTCAGGTATTGTAGATTCAAGTTTGTTCAAATCATGACCCCGGGGTAGGGTGGGGCCAAAATGGCCGACAAAAGTTTTACATAGGAATATATAGGGAAACCTTTTAAAATTTTCTTTTCAAGTACAACAAAGCCATGATTAGTAATATTTATATGAAATCATAATGGTAGTGCAGAATCTAGTTTGTTCAAATCATGATCCCCTGGGGGGAGGGGGGATGGTAAAATTCAAGCTCCCCCCCCCTCCCAACCTCAGTAAACTTTCAGTTCTGATCTGATATGTGCTTTTTCAAAGTTGATGTGCTCAGGTGAGCACTGTGGCCCCTGGGCCTCTTGTTCAAAATGCCACTCCTCCTACAGTTTTAATCTGATTTCAATTTAACTTGGAACACAGGTAGGCTATACTAAGATACATAGTTTAGTGCATCAGTTTTTCTTTTCAGTGAACAGTGCTGCCAAGGTAATACTAAAAAAAATTTCTGTGAAATTTTCTTCAAAATGCTACTCTTCCTACAATTTTGGTCTGTTTTCACTTTTCAGTATAACTTAGCACTTAAGTAGACTAAACCAAGATACATGATTTAGTGCATCAATTTTTGATTTCGATGAACAGTGTTGCCATGGTAACTAAAAATCAAATTTTCTGTGAAATTCCTTTAAAAAGAACTCCTTCAATTTTTGTTTGATTTCAATATAATTTGGCACACAATATGCACAAGTACACTATACAAAGATACATAATTCTATTTATTTTTGCCCTTTGAAAAGTCAAACCACCTAAGTGCCACTTTTCCTTTTATACACATACAGACCAGTAGATCTACAGTCTTATCAGAGACTTCTAGATTTTGAAAAAAATATTTGAAAACAAAGCAAAATTTTTACCATATGTATAAATTGGAATATTTATACAAACCTGCACATTTTTGATAATGAATATGTAATAAATGAAAAGTTATTCATGAGATCAAAATTGAAATTTTGACTTAAGTCTGTATTAGTCTCCAGGCATAAAGTGAGCTTTTCTGATCATCTATCTCTTGTTCGTTCGTCTCTCCATTCCTCTGTATGTAAAGTTTTCACATTTTCAACTTCTTCGCAAAAGATTCACTTTGCTAATTTAAGAAAATATCCTTGTGTAAAATGAAATTAAAATTCTTAAACTAAAGGGCCAAGTACCCTTGTAGGGAGAAATTATCAGAAAAAAAAAGACAAGAATAGGGTTGGGTCATATAAAAACCTTCTTTTCAAGAACCACTAACCCAGAAAAGCTGAAACTTATGTGAACGAACTCTTGTGAAATCATGAACCCTGGGAAAGGGGCAGGGCCACAATGGGTATACTCTGGTGTGGAAATCTGATAAAGAACAGCATGCCCAAAGTACACAGATGAGTGATGTGGCCTTGGGCCTCGTGTTCTGATTAATATCCATTGTTAGTCTGTTTCA